TCACAACTTCTTTTAAGATGTGATGGAACTTTAGAAAGAATCAAAGTTTGTGGGCTAAATTTATGTCGTTCAAATATTGCAAAGGTAAGCATCCTTTATGTTGTTTTTATAAGCATGGTGATTCTGCTATTTGGAGAAGAATGTGTGCTATTAGGCATATTGTGGAACCTTTCATTGTTTGGGGTTTAAACTCAGGTAATTCATTTTTTTTGGCAAGATAGATGGCTTTGTAATGATTCATTGATACTCTTCTTTCTATTTCTTCTAATTCTTCTGTCAAAGTTAAGCATTTTTTTAATAAAAATAGTTGGGATATGGATGCTATTCTGGAGCTGGTGCCAGCTGAGATTGGTAATATAATTAAGGAGGTGAGTTGTTTTGATGGTATTGAGGATCAGATTATGTTTAAGCTTTCTTATAATGGTTATTTTATCTTTAAAAACATTTGGCATTTCATTAGTGAGAAAAATTATGTGACTGTTATCTTTGATATAATTTGGAGTAACAATATTCCAACTTCTTATTATATTCTTGTTTGGAGAATCATTAGGAAGTTCATTCCTGTGGATTCTGTTCTGATGAAAAAAGGGTTTTATTTACCGTCTAAATGTTTGTGTTGTTATCATATTGAAAGTATTGATCATCTTTTTATTAATGGTATTATTGCTGCTAAAATTTAGCTTTGGTATGATGAGTTTTTTAATACTTGTTATTTTTTTCAGTTCATCTCTCTTTTAATCATTTTCTGACAGCTTTATTCCATAAAACTACTAGAGGGCATATTAAAGTGGTTATAGATGTTATTCTCATTTGGTTTATCTGGATGGATCGGAATGATGCCAAGTATAGAAACATTCCTATAAACCATAAGAGAATTATTGCTAGAGCCAAAGATAAGATTAATAATCTCTTTAATGCTGATCTTTTTAAGAATAATCAATTTTGTGGCTTTAAGGCTGTGGCTAAGAAACTTTGTTCTAAGATCATTAACAATGAGAATGATGTTTGTTTTAAGTTTGTCTATTGGAGAAAGTCGAGGGATCTTTCATTAAAATTAACACTGATGGCTCAGTGGAAAATGGTAAGTACGGTTGTTGAGGTATGTTGAGAGATAAGGAAGGTAATTTGTTTATTTGCTTTTCTTGCCCTCTTTCTTTTTGTTCTGTCATGTCTGTTGAACATAAGGCTCTATATTATGCTTTGAAAATTTCCTTATATAGGGGATTTTTAAGGCTTTGGATTGAAGTTGATGCCTTATTAGTTATTGATTTTCTTAATTGTTCTAACCTTGGTAATGCGGATATTTTTTATCTGCTTAGGGATATTAAAAGTATGCTTTCTCAAGTTGATTATTCTATTTCCCATATTTGGAGAGAAGATAATGCTTGTGCTGATTTTCTGGCTCGAATGAGAGCTAAGTTGTTTTCTTTAACTTGTTTTGATAATTATAATATTCCTTTTTTACTAAAAGGTTTGATTGGATTAAATAAATCCAGTTTACCTTATTTGAGAAAATAATTTGTTGGTTCGGAGTGGTAATTTGATTTGGGTTCCCTTTAGTGCTTGGTTCTTGTGTTTCTAGTGGAGGTAAGGGGGTTGTTTTTCTTGGTTGTTTGGTGTGTAGGGGGTGGCTGTTGTTGTGTGGGCTGGGGTTTGTTTCTGAGTTGGTTTGGTTTTAGTGTGGTGGTGTGCTTTGTTGGGAGCCTGTTAGCTGGATGGTGTGATGGGTGGGGCGTGGTGGTTTGGAGGGTTTGTTGGCTGGTGGTGTGCTGGTTGGGCCGTGGGGTTTATTGGCTGGTTGGTGTGCTATGCTGGTTAGGCTGTGGTGGTTTGGGAGGTATGTGTGGTTGTTGGTTGGTTGGTGGGATTCTGTTGGTGTGGTATTTCTTGTGGCACTAGAACTTTTAGTATTGGAGGGAACCTTTTTTTATATATGCTCGTCTTATGTTGGCTAAATTTGGTTCTTTGAGGTTGTATTATTTTTTGCAAAGTTATTGTTTTTTTTTTTTTTTAGGCAGTTAACTGCTTTATTGATTGAAAGTTTTGGTGCTTTGAGTTGTAAGTGATTGGATCTTTTGCTAGTGCTTTATTATACTTTTTTATTGTTTTAGTTATAAATAGTATCATAGATAGGAGACTTTTTCACTGCGCGATTTAAGCGTTTATTATGGGGTGTTTGTTTTATATTTATGCTCTTATGAAGCAATTTATTGAAGAGCATGTCCTTGTAGGACTTTTAATGCAACAAATTTTTTAATATTAAACTTGCTGTAAGCCCTATAAGTGGGTTTATATTATATACACACCACACTACTATATACACACACACACACACATACACACACGTTTGCACACACATGTGCTCCTCAAAAAAAACTTCCAGCAAATGCAAGGTTTGCTAGGTTACAAGAGTAGTCGAGTCTCAGATATACATCTACAATGAAAAGTAAGAAACTACCAGACAAAATAAATATATATTAAATCTAAACCAATGTTTAAAATTGCGCAATTAGCTATTGAGGTGTTTTTTGTTCCTGAGGCGAGGCATAAGCCTCAAGGCATTTTGAGGCGTGAACCTCAAAATAAAATATTGTGTTAAGTGCAAATAAATGTTAAAAGTAAATTTTTATATAATGCCCAAATAATATGTTAAAAAATGACATATTATCTTTCCATTGAACTATGAAGTAACACAATGACATATGAAATAAAAAATTACACTAGACATAAAGCGTTAAGTGATAAATTACATTAAATATAATTGAAATACAAATATTAAATAAGCAAAAAATTATTAAATAAAGAAACTGCATAAAAGTATCATTAACATTTCAACTTCAAATTCCTTCTTTCTTAACTCCCTACTCATTTACATTTAATTTCTAAAAAAGGCTAAAAAGTTGACAACAACTAGAAAATCATCTATATTGTTATCACTGAGAGGATATTTATTTGAGCCGTCATTATAACAAATTGATTTCTCTCCTGTCTCATCCTGTGGAGTCCGATGCCTACTAATATACTTCTTCTTCATTTATTTCAGGCATCTTACTCTTTCATAAATGTATTTCATCAACATAAAAATGAAATTAATACTCCAAAATTTTTAGAGGTGGTGGTGGTGTGCAGCTTTCAAGTGATCATTGACGACGGCTATGACAGTAGTGGTTGTGGCGAAGACGACGGGTTGGAGGTTGAGAGGAAATTGGTGCAACTTTGGGGTGCACGAAGTGTGATTTGTTCGGGGTTTTACTTTAGGATTTATGTAAGTTTTAACATATATATATATATATATATA